GGGGAAACGGGGAAAGGAGCGGGCTTTTGTACATTTGCTTGTTTGCCGAAAATATGATATTTGCGTGAAATCGATTTGCTGGTTGCAAATTCATTTTTGCAAACATGTATGAATTTTTCTGTTTCAGCTATGTTGATGAGATTTTCTAAGTCAATTTTTTCGACTTTTTTCCGCAATTATCTAAAGTCATGTAAAGTGGAACTTTTTCAATAAAACTATTTCATTACAATTTAATGAAACATATGTATGTATGTATGTATATATTTACTTATGCACATACACATATATACGTACATACATATACATATCTATGAATTGTAGCAATTCATTAAATTGCATTAGTGTATGCATGCGCAGTCGGCTAATTTTTACATTTCCATTTGCCGACGGCATTTTGCATGCGCAAGAATTTCCTGTTGCTAAAAAATTGATGTACAAATAAAAGCGTTGTAAAAATATACTTACTTATGTAATACAATTATGTTGACATTATGTTATGTTATTAATTATGTTGTTTATACAGAACGTAGAAAAATTCAACAAATGTTGATCTAAATTTTCTAATTTTTAATCGAATGGCCTTATTCATTAAACATTTTTTAACTTATTTTAGTTGCCGAGCTGTTTTCAATGCAACAAATCGCAGTTATCTAGGTGCCTTAGTTTTTTCCCAAATTCACTTTAAAGATGGACATATTGACAAAAAAAAGCCTACAAATGCGTACTCTTTGGTAATTTGTTGCCGGCATTTAAAAGCGAAGAAAAAATCAGTTTTTATTTTTTAACGATTGCTACGCTGCTTTCAATGCAACAAACCACAGTTTTCTTGCTAGCAATTTCACTCAAAAATGGATACATTGACAAAAACGTACAAAAGCAGCAATTGCACTTGTTAGCAAAGTGTTTTTTCTCGAAAAGTTATATTTGAGTTTTATGAACATTTATTTCGCGAAAATATGCCATATGCATATAACCTAAGCAGATACCTTTTCTTAAAATCTCAGACCTTTTACTCGATTTGTTCAAATAAATTTAAGTGAAAGTTATGAAATTTTAAGTAAAAGCAACTGCTTAGTTTTTATGCATACGGACCAATGTGTTGAATGATGATTTTTAACTGCAATACTCGTATTACATGTACATAATGGGGCTTATTCATGGTCAAAATAAAGTTGACACTAAAGTTAGTTACAGCTTTTTCACATCATTTTCAGTGGAATAGGTATCTGTGAAAAAAGCTGCAACTAACTTTCTTCCTATTAGGCATGCGCATATGGATGCTTGTAGTACACACAGATGCGATCAACTACATAATTATNGTACACACAGATGCGATCAACTGCATAATTAGCAATGAAATTCAAAATGATATTGTTTGCGAATTGTGTTTGTTTATTTATTTTTAATAATTTTCTTTAAAATAGAATTCAATCTATAACAGAAACCACAATAATAAAAGTTTAAAAGCTTGCACAAATTGCATAAAAATTAATCAAACTTCAAAAAAAATTGTTATCAAGATTTCAATTTTTTTATTTTGAAATTTAGAAAATTTTCGGGTATGCAGCTTTGTAGCCCATTCAATGAAG